CAGAAATACGAAAACTGCGATATTTTAGTAACTACTGAAGATTATTCACTCAAAATTGAATTTATAATCATTTTTAGATGAAAAATACGAATATTATAAATTTTTGGAAAATGGGCGTAGCCACGCCCACTTATGGTTACATATGTATATAAATTTTTTCCAAACTTGGCACAGTTGTTGGCCTTGGTACAGCATAGAAAATGGCCGAAAATTTTTAAAATCGGACAATAACCACGCCCACATCGCATATAAAGGTAATTTAGAGAAATACGAAATCTTTGATAAATCAGTAAATATTAAAGCTAATATATTTAAAATTGATGCTTGTAACAATTCTTTACCAAAAAATACGGTTGTGATAAAACTTAGGAAAATGGGCGTGGCACCGCCCACTTATGATCACATATATGTATCTCTGTAACCGTTCTACCAATTTCTACAAAACTCGGTATGGTTATTGTGCTTGCCACACAACAGCAAAGCACAGAAAATTATTGAAATCGGACTAAAATTACGGCCGCTTTTCATACAATGGTAAATTTCTGAAATGGTCGAAACTTCAAAATTTCGAAATTTAAGGACGCAAATTTCTCAAAATTGATACACCTCGGCTTACCATGTAGCGGTAGGTTTCGGTAAGGTGAAAAACATATATTTAATACTTGCGCCGGGTATTTAATGTTCGGCTCCGCCCGAACTTAGACTTTCTTACTTTTTTATTTTGTCTATGTTGGCGTCATGAAATTGTTTATGTCTAAGTATGTGTGTCTAAGTAAGTATTTTATGTATTAAGTTCTTGGCGGTGTTTATTTTTTATTTAGTGGGTTGTGATGAGTAGTAGTTTATCAGGCGGCCAGAAGACGTAGGTTTGGATTACCAGTCTAAAAGTTGGCTATTTTTCTCCATCTGTGTGTTCGTTGGGTCAGTTGTTATTATTTTATATGTGTTTTTGTCTTCTAGTCGGCTCTACATCTTCTCTGTGCATTCTGATTGGTATATTGCTACGGTTTTGTTCCCCTTGACCGCGTCCGTTATCACAATATTGTGTATGTGTAGTTTAAGAAAGGCTTTTGTTTTGCTAAGTGCTTCTAGTATGAATTTTTCGCCTGCGTTGTGTCTTATGTTCCGTTTAAAAAGGAGTATTCTGTTGTTGAGCTTATTCCTTGATATTTCTTTTTCTTTTTCATTATCTACAAATTGTATTATCTGTTCCATTTCTGCCATGATATGTATTTGTAAGACATTTTTCCTAGTTGTTGCTAGTGTAAATTTTCTTCGGAGTGATAACAGCCACTTTAGCTCTTCGGGAAATTCTACGTTGGTCTTGCTTACGAACCAGTTAATGTTAGAATTGATTCTCAGTTTTTGCATTAGTTCGTGCTTCAATCTCTCTATTTTTGAAGTTAATGTTGTCCCCTTCTATCTGACCTAGAAAGTTTTGTTTGCTTATGAACTAATGCAAAAACTGGGAATCAATACTAACAACAACTGGTTCGTAAACAAGACCAACGTAAAATTTTCCGAAGAGGTAACGTGGCCGCTATCACTCGGAAGAAAATTTACACTACCAACAACCAGGAAAAATTTCTCACCAATACACATTAGCGTGGGCCGAAAATCCACTTATTTAGAATTTTGATTGGTAATAGCAAAAACATGGTTCATTATGCTCTAAAAACAATCTGTGTAAAAGATGACAATTTTTGGTCAATATCTTAGGCTCGCCCAAGTTCATCAAAGCTCAATGTGCTCAAAAAATTAAAATTAATAAATACATTAATTAATACATTTGTTCAAATAAACCTCCGAGTATCTTCGAAAGTATCAGTCCTACATAATTTAGTATATGGCCTTTTTTTGCAGAGAAACGAAGTAAGCAAAGAAAATTTTGTTGAGCAATTGAACGTTGATGGACCTGGGCGAGCCTAAAATATTGACCAAAAATTGTCATCTTTCACACTTTGCGGGAACAAATAAATGGAGCTGCTGCTGAGATAGTCCAATTGAGTTTAAGATCTCTAAAATAGTCTTATAAGGTGCCGAGCTTGTATTAGAGTAGAAGGTCACCAATTTGAGACTATTTTATCAATAAATGAATAAATTTTTCTTCAAACAACTCATGTATATTTTATTTCACGTGGAACCATCCTTCACAAAAAATATTGATAGATATAGCCCTTGTTATAGACTCTAGTCCGAATTCCGGTAAGTAACATAAAATAATGTCAGGAGCAGGTAATAATGTACCTTTG